CCCCAAAACCCCAAAACCCCTGTGGTTTTATTTTAGTAAAATTAGTATAAATTATTTACAAGCTTTTGTAATTAAAATAATTGTTTAATGCGTATTATTCTAATTTTCAGTAGTAAAACTATTGATGAAAAGATTTCAGCAAATTGAGTTTAAACTTGACCTTCATTCTAGACTTAAGGACCCAAGTAAAAACAGCTACAGAGTTATCATAAGCATTAAACCCATAAAACCTGCTAATTATGAGAATAGTAAGCTAGATGAATAGGCATTCAGGATGCGATATAGAACGATGATGAAACTTGACATATAAGAGTATAAAGCAATTGAACATCATCTAGTAAATAATAACTTTAAAGTGGTAACCCCTTCACCATCCAAGCTACCAAAGAATAAATATCCCTATATATTACTGAGAATAAGTAACATCAAAATATTCAGGATACCAGCAATAACTGAGGAAGTCTTTAAGAACTCTGAAGTATATAAGCAGAGATAAAAAATTGAGAGTTTTAAATTGGAGTCTACTCATTTTAAAGATTGGCAGTTGAGTTTACTAAGACATATGTTTTACGGCTATGGAAATAGTGCTGTATACACCTCACATACTAATTCAGCGTCCACTTTTAGTACTAATAATAAGGGCTACAATATCAAAATACCAATCAAGGCTGATTTGCTTGATGATGCATAGTTCGACGACTTGATTGTTGCATACCATGATTTTCATCCTGTAATTATAGTTAATGATGAGGATGAGAGCATTAAACTCACAACCTAGACTCACTTAGAGGAACTTAGAAATCATGCAAGATTATTGTTTAAACAGGAAAGCAATTACTTCACTTGTGAGTTTAGAAAAGTTCTAGACTCTGAAAATCAGTATTTGATATTTAACATTAGTAATGCCCTAAAAAATCAAGATAACATGCTTGATTATCAAAAACAAGAGTTTCAACTATTGATAAAGAAGGCAGATGTTTAAAAAAGTCCTTATATCTTAAGTCATCTGAACACTGTTGTTAAAC